AATGGTGTTAAAACTTTGACAGCATTTTCACATATGACTAGAACCCTGTCACCCTTTGCTTCCTCATACTGTTGTAACTGCTCTTACAAATGTTTGAACTTTGTGCAGGTGAAACTAAAGCAAGGATTAAAAACTGCAATGAGCCTCTCAAGTGAAGGAAATGCATATCTGCAAGTAAGTTGGAAAAACTTCTAGTTCTAGAAATTAATGTGTTGAGTTACTCTGTTATAGGTTACTTGGTCTGGCTAATGGCACTTTCCCTGATGTATTTTGTTGATAATTACCATTCAGGAAAGTCAATTTTGGAAGCTTTACAAAGAAGATCAACCTTCTTGTTCAATTGTTATGAAAAGTGCAGTTGGGCTAGTGCATATTCTCGCATGTCTATTGGAACCTTTTATTCCATCTTTTTCTGTTGAGGTAATCTAATAGGTGCAGAGATTTTCAACTGGTGTGATTGGAACTAATTTTGTTTCATATAGCAGTGCTGGCTGTTTAACTTGATTTCTTATGTTATGAGTTCTATTTTTTTGGGTGCACTTACAGGTATTTAAGCAGCTTAATTTGCCTCCTCAAGCACAAATTTCACTTTGTGATGAGAAAGGAGATGTTGATAGGGCTAGAAGACTGTGGGAGATAATACCTGCTGGGCATAAAATTGGATTTCCAAAACCTTTGTTTGAGGAACTGGTATAAGTATCTTCCATGTGATATGTCAATATTTAATTTTCTCCTTTATTTTATTTATTTATTTATTTTTTTGGTGGCTTGGGTTCGATTGGCATGGTACTTTTCCTTTTTTGTTGCTTATACTGTAAAAATTAATTAATAATAGAAAACTGAAAGAGTTGAAGAACTGAGGCAGCAATATGCTGGAAGTCAAGCTGATAGGCGTGCTAGGGCAGAAGCTGATGCTGTGAAGACTGCTGAGCAACTGAAGAAAACAAAAATTTCAGGTTGAATATGTTCCCTTTGTTTAAGTCATGCTTCCAAATTCCTTCTTTCAATTATTTTCTGTTTACTAATGTTTGTGGACGTCTGAATAGATGCACTGTATGGCTTCTTGTGTCACCTATCTGTTTGTGGACTCATTACTCGTGTTATATAGCATTCATAGTTATTTTTCTAACTTTATGAATGACTAATCGAGGGATTGCATGTGAGTTACTTTATGCTTAACTTTCATTAAATTTTGTATTTCTTCACTTGAATATATATATATATATATATATATATATATATAGAGAGAGAGAGAGAGAGAGAGAACCCGACTCCCCAATCTCTCTGGGCTCTGGTGAGTTTTTCTTCTTCTCTGTTTTTGTCTTTTTCTCAGGGATTGCATGTGAGAAATGTGTTTACTTTATGCTTAACTTTCATGAAATTTTGTTTTTCTTCACTTGAATATATATATATATATATATATATATATATATATAGAGAGAGAGAGAGAGAGAGAGAGAGAGAGAGAGAGAACCCGACTCCCCAATCTCTCTTGGGCTCTGGTGAATTTTTCTTCTTCTCTGTTTTTGTCTTTTTCTCTTTGCCAGCGCTTTTCCTGCTTATCTTTCCACCATTGTTTCTTTCTCTTCTCTATTAATCCTCCCTTTCTTTCCGAAATTCTAACCAAGAAAATTTCCCTCTCCTACTGATACAAAAAGATCTAACTCTAAACCGTTATTAATGTAATTTACAAATGTTTCAGCAATATCAAATCTTTGTGAATGGATTATCTCTCCTTTTTCTAATGGGTCCATGCTTGCTCAGGCGCCCAACTACTAAGGCTTAATGAGATCCTTGAGTTTGTTACATTTGCAAGTTTTCAAGGATCAAGGTCCTTATTTCCTTATTATATTGTATGCATGCTCCTGTCTGAAATTGACTTTTGACTTGCCGCAGAGGTTTAAGAAAAAAAGTTTTTGACTTTAGTGTATTTGATGTGATTATTTTAAAATATTTGTCATAATATTGATGTTTAAAAGTTTTTAATTCCAAAAAGTAAAAAAAATAAAAAAGGATGCCAGAAAAGTGAGTTCTTGGTGTTCACAGAAGGAAAGTCTTAAAAGCGAAAGATGGACATTTTAAAAATAAATAAATAATTTTACATTGAAATTACTTGAAATAACTAAAGGCGTTTTGAACATTCAAACTTTTCATTAAATCTATATGTCAGCTTATTACTGCTGTTCTTTCGGAACTCTTTTTTGGAGCTTTAGCTTTTGGTCTCTAGAAGCTCATTGAGATTTAATCTAAGCTAAAGTCTGTTCTGTAAGCGATGGCAAAAAATTCTTGGTTATTCATTGCTTTTTGTTAGATATGTTTATACCTATTATGTGGAGATTATAAATCTGTGGTTGCTTAGGGAGGTAAGTTGTTATTTATGACAGATGGCAAGAAACCAAAGCCCGCAAAATCTGCAGTTGACTCTAAAGCAAAGCCTACTACTGAACCAGAAATTTCCATTACAAGACTTGATATCCGGGTTGGCAGAATTATAAAAGCTCAGAAGCATCCTGATGCTGATTCATTGTATGTTGAAGAGATTGATGTGGGTGAATCCGAACCTCGAACAGTTGTTAGTGGACTTGTCAAATATATTCCTCTGGAAGAGATGCAGGTATTTGTTTTCTGCCTTGTAAATTATTCAAGATATTGGTGTATCTTCTTTTGGTGGCGATGGGGTGCTTGGTAATACAACTTTTATATTTCTATATTCAAGGTTTTTCTCCTACTAATCTCTTCTCTGGATTTGATATTGGGCAGAATCGGCTGGTTTGTGTTCTTTGTAATTTGAAGCCAGCATCCATGCGGGGTATAAAATCACAAGCAATGGTTCTTGCTGCTTCAAACAGTGACCACACCAAGGTAAGCAAATACCTTTCAGTATCAGCATCAACCGGTGCATTGTTTAAGCTCTCTCGCTCTCTCTCTCTCTCGTGATAATACTATCATTGGTTGCTAGATGTACAATTTTGTACTGTTGAATAACGGAGCGAGTGATTTAACAGTTGCATGACATACCATTATAGGCTTGTATACGGGAACTTTCATTCGACAAAATGACTAGATGTCGTCATAATTTTGATGCCCTCATGTTTCACTAATTGTGCTAAGCTTGTAACAGTTATAGGATGGTTCTAAACAACACCTTTCATGTTTATGCTGTTAATTTTTGTTGTGGGCTTTCAGGTGGAATTGGTTGAACCACCAAAGACTGCCACGGTTGGAGAGCGAGTTACCTTTCCGGGTTTCACAGGCGAGCCAGATGAAGTCTTAAACCCGAAGAAGAAGGTTTGGGAGACACTACAGGTGGATCTCCACAGCGACGCAGATCTGGTGGCCTGCTACAAAGATATTCCTTTGACCACATCCGCCGGAGTTTGCAAAGTTTCTTCCATTAGCAATGGATCAATTAGATAGATAAATGCTTAGATCACTGAACAGCATCAAACTTCCCTCCCCCTCCCGGGAAAAAAAGAAGGAAAATTGTTTTGGTTGTTATAACTATTATTTATATTTTGTGCTTTGCTTTTTATTTGCCTCATGTTTTGGTAGTGTACGTTTTTCTGTCATAGATATGAAGTACTGAACTACGGAGAAATCATGAAACTGCATTTTTATGGGAGACACATGAGACTTAATAATTCGTATCATTATATTGTATAAAATATTATATAATATTTTACATGAAAATTATATATTATAATTTATGTTGATATGAAAATATAAAATATAATTTTTAATTTTATTAAATTTATTGATGTTTTTTTTAAATTTTAAGTTGTCTTATTTTTTTATTTTTTATTCATATAATTTTTGTATCATGTTTTTGTATTGTGTTTTAAAATATCAAATTTAAGAAATATGGATGAGTTTTCTCCTCCATTTCATGCGTACAGTTTTTTCTAAAAACTTTAATACTTAAAAAAATTTTTGGGACATCAACGTAAACTTTAAAATTGTATTATATTTGATCACACGACTTCTTAAAGATAAATAAAAAAATAAAAAATGATTTTTTAATTTTGAAACTATACTCTTATGTAAAGCTTTTGACTGAATTTAATGTTATGAATTAAGAGAGATCAGTTTTTTAAAATTATATAAAAATAAAATATAATATCATAATAAGAATGAAATTAAATATATTTATGTTTCTCAAAATTTTAATAAAAGCATACTTTTATTTAAAAAAAATATAAAAACTATTTATTTTTGTATAAATAAGTATATATCAAGTAAGTTCTTTTTCTTAAAATTTCTTGAAAAAATAAAAAACACCCAAGATATGTCAAATTTTGATTACTATACGAATTTTTTAGATTTTTAAAATTATTAAAATTAAAATTTTATCACTAAAATTAAATATTCAATATTTTTTCAAAAAAAATTCAAAAGAAAATGATTTGATAATCCAAATATAGCATTAATAAGAAGAGAAAAATAACATGAGTCTAAATTTAACAATTTGTGTATTTATATTATGTAAAATATTAATAATTTATATATCATATTTTATATAAAAATTATATGTCATAATTTATGTTAATAAAAAAAAATTAAATATATTTTTTATTTTTTATTGTTAAACATTTTTATAATTTTTGTTATAATTTTAAATTATATTTTATTGTTATATTTACGTTATGTTATTATGTTATATTTTAAATTATTTTTATTAATTTTACGAGATAATTGATTTACGAATTCTAATGTTTCATTCGAAATTTTACTTTTCTTTCTCTAATTTTTAAATTTGATTTTATAGTGTCCAAAACTATTAAATTACCAGTAGTGTTTAGAAGGGGGCCAAAAATAAGAAGAATCTAAAACTGTCATTGTCTAGAGGTACGAAAAAGCCAACTTAGGAAATCTCAACCAATTTATTATTTTTATCAAACGCAGTGACCGTACAATTTCATTTCCAAAACATAATCTCAACCGTCAAATATCCTGATCCAACGTCCACAATTGCCTTCCCCCATAAATATTCTTCCCCACGCGTCCCTCTCCTGTCGTCCACCCCCACTCTTTCTCAGTTTCCTTTCACGAACCTTTCTGATCTTTTTCACATTTGTAAGATAAACAGAACAAAAGAAAAAAAAAAAAAGCCTAAGAGAATCAAAAAAGGAAAAAAAAACCTGTGAAGGGAAGAAGTTTAGATTTTTTTTTGCAACACCAGATCTGATTTTTTAAAGGGTTAGTTTCCATTTCACTTTGCTGTTATTTTCTCTTTTATATTATTTTTTTCTACTTTTTTTGCTTCTTTCTTTGGTAAAATATGTGGGCAATTTCGATATTAAAATGCCTCTTGTTTTGCCTTTTTGAGGAATGGGTTTTAATGGGTAAGGTCAAATTTCAATTCAATGTATCTTCGGGTTTGAAGGTTTTGGAGGTTAGTGCATTATGATTTATGTGTAGTTGAAATATATTTTCTTTCCTCCAATTTCCAAAATTTGGTGTTAATGTGCTGCCCAAGTTTTGATTTTTCTAAAGGTAGAAGAAAAAAAAGAAAGAAATCTGATTGATTGGCAATGCTATGGTGTTTAAAGAGGGATTCAAGTGCTATAGTTGTAGTGTATCTTTCCTAGGATCAGCTTGGATTTGGGGACCTTCTCGTGAGACATTTTAGTGTGCTGAGGCTGTTTTTAAGGTAGAAACTTAGATTCAAGGCTTTGGTTAAAGATTGGATGGAATTTTACTTTGCTGGATCTTAAGAAGATAATTTCGGTCAGATTCTTTCGGCAAAATGGGTTTAGGGGAGGTTTTAAGGTTACGAAAATGGGATTTTGGTGGTTAATTGGATGAACTAGTTAATCAAAGTGCATTGAAGTGTTTTGGTTATGTAGAAGAGGTTTAATGCCTTCTTTGGGATTTTTTTTTAAAAATAGACAGATTCAAATGGGTGCCCATACTAACTTGTACCTCGATCTCAGCATTCATGTTTGAACCCTAGAGCTAAAATAAGAGGCAATTGCAATTGCTGCTATAGTGTCACAAGTTTGTTGGAATTTGAAAATATTGGTGCCATTGCAGGCTTTAGGAGTCTGAGTCTGAGTATGAGATGAATTTGTAGATCCTTTGGGATGTGCTATGTAGCTTATTGCTGCATGACATCACTGTGTTTCAATATTAGACGAAGATTGCCAATAAGTGGAAAAGGGGTTGAGAGGCAAGAATAGCTTAAAACTTGCATCAAATAGGTGCAGGGAATCCTGAATGCTGCTGGCACAAAAGATTTTACAAGTTCCTTAATGGACTTCTATAGAAGCTGATGTTTAAAATTTTTTACCTTATATTGGGAGTTATGTGAGAACACTTTGCTCTCATGAAACTAAATGCTAGAATTTCAAATGCGTTGATTTTCTCTTTCATGTTAAGTTCAATTGCTCTTGGTTATTTGGCCAAGTAGTACAAGGGTCTCACGTACATGTCTGAATTGGTGTACATATGCTGTAGTTTAATGTGTTGTGGCATTTGTTTTCTTGTTAGTTTGTTTATTTGTCTCTTCCTGATAAATGAATATTTAGTCAGCTAAACATGTTACCTTTTGTTTAATTGGTTGCCATTCTTTATGTGATCATATAATCTCAACTCTTTATGGACGGTACTTGCAGGTTTTATGACATTTACAACTTTATAGCAAAAGCTGCCTCAGTTGAACAATCACACATTTTTGTTATATTCAGTTTAGAATGGAAAATGGATTGTCAAGTTTCTGGGGTCCTGTCACATCCTCTGAGTGGTGTGAGAAAAACTATGTTCACTCATCTTACATTGCAGAGTTTTTCAACACAATATCCAATGTTCCAGGCATTCTTTTGGCACTCATTGGCCTCGTTAATGCCTTAAGACAACGATTTGAGAAGAGGTTTAGTGTCCTTCACATATCTAACATGATACTTGCCATTGGGAGCATGCTATACCATTCCACACTGCAGCGTATGTAAGTGTTCTTTTCACGTCTTACACTTGCATTGCTATTTCCCCAAATACTTCAGATATTAGATGAATGTCTTACCAACAGAGATCTAATGTTAGAAAATATTGTCTTTCTACATGTAGTTGGAAGATATTTTTTTTCCTTGTTTGATTGGATTAAGGAGTTTGTTATTTTACTTGAACAGCAGAGTGACACAACAACTAGCAAATACTAGAGATAGCTGAAGGTTTTTATTTTTATTCCCACTTTCTAAAATGAACATTCCTTCTGTTATCACACTTAAATAAGTACTTCAGGAATTGGGCAGAAGAAATGTTTCACTTCTGGCTTAGATTCAAAAGCTTTTTCTGAGGATTAAGTAAAAGAAGTTACGCCTAAAGCTCTTTTTTGATCGTCTTGCACCACCGTGTATGTCTCCCTTTGTCCCATGGCTCCTTTATCACATCTTTTCAAGGAGATGTATTGGACTAATATCTAATTTTGACCTTTTTCTTTCTTTTTTTCCTGCTCAAGGTGACATGAAACTTTGAAAGGTTCCATAGACAATATTTTCTATATCTCATGGAGCTTTTTCTCTTACTCTTCCGCTATATTTCTTCTGTCTTTTACATCACTAGTGTATTGAATATTTGGGCTTTATCTCCTTTAAATTTCATCAAGCCTCTTTTGAATACTTTTTATGAACTCGGACCCTTCTTTGTGACATTTTAAATACATTTATTACTTGAAAAAGAGGTTTTATGACTTTTATTTTGGCCTTTTCACTTAAGACTTACAGCCAGCTTTATTTCACTTTTTTTTCCATTAAGTAGTGCTTGATATGGGGTGATCACTTAAAAAATCATGGTAATCTACAGATGGTGGTTAGATCACTGTGTTTGGCAAGAACTCGATGATCCTACGTGATGATGCACTTCGATCACTAAGAGTTATTAAATCATTGCCTTGGAGGGTGATCTAATCCCCATCTAAAAGAGTAGGAAACTTTTATCACGGAGGTGAAGTTATATGTAAACTTAACAATAGTGAATATTATTCATTCACTATGTGAATTAAAAACTCATTTACTATGTGAATTAAAAACTTACTTCCTCTCAAAATTATAATAAATTATAATTATTTTATATTATAATTTTTATATTTTCAAACTAATATTTATTGTAACAAATTCATAAATAATTTGTGAGCTCTATTTTCGCTTTTTAAAATTTTTTTTTATATATAATATAATATTTTTTATTTTCTTTTGTTCTTATTTTAACAGAGTAGTTTTATTTTCTAATTCAAATTTTTTCATAAGTAATATTATAAAAATTAGTTTATCTATCAATAAATATATTTGTTAATTTAATAATTTAACTATATTTTATTATAAAGTAAATAAAATATTACTAATATTTTATAAATTATTATCTTTAAACAATATTGAAATTTGTGTAACTATTACAATGTGCATGATTATTTTGGTACTTTCAAACAAAATAATATTTGATTTTTAGTAATATCAAATATAGTGATCTTGAATTTATAATCTTTAACGATTGTTAACTAAACAATTTGATTTCAAATCATGAGTTGTAAGATCACCTTAGTAATAAAATCACTTTAGTGACTAAATTACCATGGTGATCTTGTAAATGATATCAAACACTACGTTATTGAAAAGTGATCCTGCTTTGCCTGTGCTTTGGTGCATGATGCTGATTTCCGGTCTTAGGAACTTAAACTGTTTGTTCTCTTTAAGACTTTCTACACCTGAGCATTTGGTTCAATGGTTGGTGCATGTTTCTCTTTGCTCAACCAACCATTGAATCAATTGCGTGGGTGTAGAAAGTCTTTTTGGTCTTGGGACTATTTTATATGTACTAGATCTTGGGACTTTCTACACCCTGTCCCCCAATATATATATATGTATGTGTGTATGTGTGTGTATACATGTAAAAGACTTTCTGGTCTTGGGACTATTTTTGATGTACTAGATCTTAGTTTCTAATGCTTGGATGACTTTTTCGTGCTTTTCTTCTATTCTGCTTTTGCAGTACAGTAGTTAACTTATAACTTCCTTTGGTGATGTCAACATGTGTCTCTGTTTTTCCTCTAGAATGAGAACAATGAAACATTAAAACAGAAAGAGAAAGGAAAGATGCTGCAATACTCATATTAGTTTGATATGTAGATAAAGGCATTTGAAGGTTTAGCACGAAAAAAAAAAAAAAAAAGGCATTTGAAGGTGTTGATAACTTGAATGGGTTTGCAAAATGTATATATAGTCAAAGGAAGGTGTTCATTATCGATGTTAAGCTTTTTCCTTTGCTAGGAATCATATATTGTTGTCTGTTAAAGTTCATTGTGCTTGTTGATTATTGTTGCTAGTCAGCTGGACCGGTAAATATTTATGTAGCATGACAATATGTTAACAAAAGAATACTTTCTGTTCTTTTCCTCATTGAGTTTTTTTTTTGGCCTAGCAGAAACAATGACTAAATTGAGGGTTATTTGATAATGCTTCTCTGCTTCTGGTATCTTCCCTTTTTGCATAAAACCTTTTACTCTGGAGGGAAAATGGGCACCTATGGAAAATGAACTCAAGAAAACATTGCTCTTGTTTGTAGCTTTAAGAATTAAGAACTTAAAAAATTTTAATGAGTTATTTATTTGCCAAGTTGATCGGAAATGCACAAATTTTCAATTTATTTTCAGGCAGCAGCAAGGTGATGAAACACCAATGGTCTGGGAAATGCTTCTATATTTTTACATCCTCTACTCACCAGACTGGCACTATCGGAGTACAATGCCTACTTTCCTGTTCTTTTATGGAGCTGGATTTGCAGTAGCCCATGCTCTCTTTTGCTTTGGTATTGGCTTCAAGGTGCACTATGTCATTCTCTGCCTTCTCTGCATCCCTCGCATGTACAAATACTATATCTACACTAAAGACGTCTCTGCAAAGCGACTTGCAAAGTTATACGTAGCAACTTTGTTCCTGGGGAGTATTTGTTGGCTCTCTGACAGGGTGTTCTGTGAGGAGATATCTGGTTGGTACTTTAACCCCCAGGGTCATGCTTTATGGCATGTCTTCATGGGCTTCAATTCATACTTTGCCAATACATTCCTGATGTTTTGTCGCGCTCAGCAGCGAGGATGGGATCCTAAAGTTGTCCACATCTTGGGTTTTTTCCCTTATGTCAAGATTCAAAAACCAAAGAGCCAGTGAGGAAGCTTGCTGCACGAGTTGTTGTCTCTTCCCCCTTTTTACTCAGTCACAGACATAGGATTCACAATTCATTTGTACCTTGTGTCGTAAAGGAGAAACGATGATGTAAATGATAGTTTAATTTTGATTTCTATGGTAGGACATTGGCCATTTTTGACAGTAAAACTAGTGTTTTTGCATAGCAAAGGAGAATGGAAAGTTATTTGAGCACCATATCCTCTTATTGGCTCATCTATCCCCAACTCACAATAACCCAACCATTCTTTTTAAATCATGTATGTATTGACAACAAGCATTACAGAATTTACTGCATTTGTGATGGAAATAGGAAAACAATTGACTTTTTGTTGTATTCAACCTATTAGAATTTGAATTATATTAATGATTTAATTTATTCCTTTTTTTTTTTTTTACCATTCTCTGGACTTGCAAATTGTGTACGGTAGTATTAAGTTTGATGAAAAGGAGAAGACGAGTATTCTAATCATCTGTTCTAGTCATAACATTAACAAAACAAAACTTTATAAAGGTGAGCCTAAAACTTGAGAAAACAAACTATGCTTGTCTTCTTGTTTCTCCTTTCTTCATGTGTAGGAGAATTAGCATTTTACTTGTCATGTCAACGTGGGCATGATGATGATAATGCTCGTCTTCGATGGAAGACTGTTAAATTAAAGTTTTAAGTTTTGCTGTGCTTGATTTATTTGTTTAATCAATGAATGTAAAAATATTATTTATGATCGTATGATAAATTTAATAAACAAATATAAACGATCATAAATTAAAACTGTTAACAAATTTTTCGATAATCACTTTGTACTTAAAGGATTATTTCTGCTCTATCATAAGTCATTATTGCATTCTTACAATGTTATTATTATTTTCAACAAGCATAGCTTCTACAGGAACATAAATCAGGATTCAGGCTTATAAGGTCCTGCTCCATTATCAAAGTAGTCATAACTCCATTCATAAACACTCAAAACTGTAAACCTCCAAAAGCAGATATACAAGGAAACCGGTGACCAAACCCAAGAATGAGTGAAATCAATCAGAGTGAAGAACACACCATCCACACACAATCAATACACATGAAAGGTCACCTGGTTAATGGTTAATTGATGTGCAAAGATTTCTATGTATCTACATGAAAGAAATGCCAACTCCCCTTGCACAAAGCACTTTAAGGACAGTTGAATGAAGCCCTTTTTTGCTTGATGGGTTGTGTCTGCCCATCCTTCGATGCAGAAGACTTGATTAGTTTGCTTTTGTCCCACTCTGACCCCAACATAACGTGCATTATTGGTATGAAGTATGAACAAAACAGAGTCAGTTGCCTTTTACAAGTTGATGTCACTCTCGTAGCCCTTCAGCAAAGCTGGAAGCACATGATATTCACATTCCAGACTTTCATTTTTGTACCTTATTATGATGTCTTCCACTAAATCTTCAAGGATGGCTTCACCCATCTCAACACCAATACACTCAGTGTCAAGTCGAAGGTCCATCCATGTTCCTGTCTTAGCCATGTCTTTTCTGACTATCTGGTCCAAAGTATGAGGCAGCGGCATCGGCAGCAAATGCCAATAAACTCCTTGCCAGACCTCTTGAATGGTATTTTTCATGTTTGGGATATGATGGATATTAGGTTTAACAAATGACACACCAGGGGAACCAAAATAGTACCCACAAATCTCCATGAGAACTTCATTAATGCAATCAAAGAGCAGTTTCCGGTCGTGACAAAGCTGGTTGGGTGAATATTCTACCTCATCAAGCAATAATGGATCAAGGAGGTCTGAAGAAAGTGATCTGATGAAGAGTTCATCCCATTTGAAACTAGAGGCTTTCAGCACTGCCTTTATGTACCCAAATGTCGATTTCTTATCATCCAGACATGTTTTAATATGATTACTGTGATTTGTGACCAAACAGCCATGTTCTTCGAATTGAATTCTTAGGGGTTGTATGGATGTTTCACCTGAAGATTGGTGAACAAATTGGCATTAGACAAAATGTGCTACAACGAAGTTAAAAACAAATGTAGAATGTGAAACAAACAAAAGACTTCTCCCAGTACCAGAATGAGATCTGATGCTTGCAGGGCTGATGACATCCTCAGCAAATATTGGCTCAAGAACAGATATGGGACTTGGCTCCTCCTGTATATTATTACCACTCTCAAGACCTTCAACCTTTTTGGAGAATGATGAGTTTGATGGAGATGCTAATGGAGAAAATGGCAGTTGGTCCTCTTCGGATGAATCCTGGAGAAAGAAAAAAGGAAATTGGTTGGATGATAGATAACATTTACAGTGCAGACAACAAAATGGAATAATGGCAAAATATGTAGAGAGCCCGTATTTTTTTTATGGGGTTTTAGCTCTGTCTTCAACATAACAATACAAAAATCTAGACAATATCAAATGTGCCATATCTTTTTCCTTCTTCTTGATGCAAGATGCAAGATTAATTTAAGGGCATAAGCAGTCTGTATTCATCGTTCTGAGCTTCTTCTTAATCACATCACAATATATATAACAGCAAGTGGCATCACTGTACCTGTTTCAAGCACTGAGGATATTGTTTTTCATCACAAACTTTACATATATCAACATTTTTGTCATCTCTGGTAATTGAAGAGTCACTTGTCTCAGAAGAAGCATGGAAGAGCTTGTTTTCGTCCTGAACAATCATTTCAGTTGTTTTAACAAAACGCATAGCACCTGCATAAATTTATGAAGGTTAATAAACCTGGATATTCATGATTGTCATCACAAAATAAACAACTGCAAAACAATACCTTCGGAACTCAATTCATCTTTAGTAGAAGAAAATCTTTGATCCTCTTTTTCCTCATTCATACAAGTGTCAAGGTTGTTTGAAACTGCATTTTCACCTTGGATTTCATCACTGGTTTTGTTATCAGAAATGCAAAGCTGGCTCTCTGTGTCCTCTGCTACTTGACTTAGATGGCTGACATATGTGTGTTGATTGCTTTCATTCACCTCCTGAAAATTTTTAGAGCCAGCAAATCTCATCTGCGCAGTTATAAAACTAGACTCAGATTTCCTCCCAGGGCCGCCAACAGGGGATGAGTTATACTCAGGAAGAGAAAGAATCCTCCCTAAGGTTTTTGGAACCTGTTTGCTTGAAACATTCACATTTTCATCCACATTTGTTAGCGTCTCAGATAGATGTTTCTTTGCCTCAATGTAGATGTTTGAAACCCTTTGCCAGGAAAAATCAGTAATCTCGTATTCTGTACCTAGTTCAGAGCCTTTTACCTTGCTTTTCTTTTCTCCTTTTTTGACACTGATGGAAGGTCTGGCAATTTTTTCAATAAAAAATTGGTCTTTAGTAGGAGAATTCATCCCAATATATTCCTTTACTCCTCCACCGTCCCCTGAATTTTGTCGCTCACCAGGAAATCTTTTGGATATAACATCAGTGGGGATTCTTTGTCTCTCCCTTCTCATAGCATGTTGAAACTTTCTTTTTATTTCAGCAAGAAAAAAGTGGGAACCGCCATTCTCATTCGGCTCCCTATGTCTGATGTACTGAGATTCTGGTGATGAGCCAAGGCTGCTTCCAGTTTCAGTAGTTTTCAAGCATGTTGGTTCAGGCTTCAAGATTACAATTTTATTTGAAGCTTGCGAAACCTTATTTCTGTCTGATAGGTCTCTTTCCTGAGACTTGAACTTTCTTCTAAAGAAATTGTGCTGTTTTGTATTGACAGGCTCATTGGATTGTCTTGATTCGACAAGAGGCTTAGACTCTTCATCCTTTAATTGAGCATCTGGCAAGTTTTGAACATATTTCACCAACGAGTTTGGATCTCGTAGAAGTTTCAAAAACAATTCTTCATCTAAACTCAAAATTTTAAGTGCATCCATGACTTCTTTTGAGGCTTGAAGTTCCCCATCTTCTGTAAGTTGATTCCTGTTAATAAGCTTCTGACTCACTAAGAACTTGATTGCCTCACTTAATCTTTCTTCAAAACCAGAATTCTCCTGGTTTGGCTGCATATGACGTTCAGCAGGCTGGTCGTGATTCCCGCAATTGATTCGTTTATGATGGATTTGCTGACAAGATGCTTCTGATACCAAGTTCTCAGCAGCATCCATATCAAGACTCTTATCAGAACTTTTCTTGCCAGTTCTGTTTTTTCTTTTTCGATTCTTCCTTCTGTTGTCTCCTTTCCCAGAATCAAACTGTTTTGCTTTAACTTCAGTATTATTTACCTTTTTCTTTGCAACATGCTCTCCAGCCATTTCTTCTTCTAGGAGTTTCTTCACACTTGGCTTACATGCATCAGCCACTGTTGTTTTCGCTTCACCATCCTGAAAAAAATAGTAATATAAATAGCAAATGAAAGGCTTACTCCATTGATGAATATCTTCAGCTCACAATAACTCTACCCTTCCAATGAGTATACCGCAATTTTCAAAATTATTTTGGATTTGACTTAGTTTCCAAAGCTTACAAGAGTTCCTAGACAATCGTCGCCAGAACTAGTCAATGTGTAAAATTTATTTCCTGAATTTCCCATATCTGCAAAGTTAAAGAGAAAATGCAGCATTAAATAATTGAACAATGTGGACCAAAGATAAGCAAACCGAATTTCTAACTACAAAGAAAAGACAGATTTTATATTTAATGACAAAAACAAGCCGGCAAAATGATCTCTTAATGCTAAAAGGACAATCCAAAAGACCATTTATAATCACTTTGCAACTTTAAACAGAGCTCTATGCTATCCACCTGTATGCAAATGCTTCAAAATTTTTTAGAGAACTTACCAACTGCATTTCTGTTTCTGTGCCTTCTATCGGAAAGCAGTCTCTGAGTCGATTGACCATGGCGGAAGTCAAACATCCTAATCAAGCCCCGCATACAGCTCAACTGATCCTTTTCATATCGCACAGGGTGTCTATTTGATCTTTTGGCCATGATAAATGTGGTGCTTTGGTAATAGAAACTTTTTGTTGAAAGGTGAACTTGGAATCTGATAAACAGATAGAATCAGCAGTTAGAATGATATAAAAAAGAATTATAAGTTGGCAAATCTTCACCTATTTTTAAAGATTAAAAGATAAGAATGGGGAAGACAAAGGGCATCTTCATCATAGTGTTGCTAAGAACTGTTGTGAAGAAAAAGAAAAGACACTGATATGTTGATACCAGAAGTGCAAATAGACTTGTGTCAGATTCGACCAAAAATTAAAGACTATGAGAAATCATGTAATTGCAGAAACATTTAACATTCACTGATTCACAACTGATGAACAATAAGGAAAACAGGTAGATACTTATTAAATAAACAAAAAGTGTCTCTTGAATTGTTAGCCTCAGCTCTTTACAGAACTTCCTATGATAAAATCTCTTTAACTAAATGTTTCAAACAAGACAACAAGCTAAGTGGAAAAGAATCATGGCTGTCAGCCAGTAACTGGAACCAGAGTAACAGACTACACGCCTCTGACCATCAAATGAAATGTGAATAACCCGTCCTCCTCTCTTTGAAACAAGGGGCGCTTCTGGTTGGTTCTGTCGGTGCTTGAAACAATTTTGTCTTCTCCATATTACTATATCTCTAGAGTCAATAATTTTATATGAGGAACTACTGAACTCAATCACTTGCTGCCGTTACGCTTCAGTTTTCTGTTGAGGTCTATCCTGTAGAGGTACTCAAATTGGATCAGTGATTGACCAGCCCAAATTTCACATGGTCATCACTCATGAGAGACTCTTGACATTGATGATGCAGAACCAGACATTTCCTTTGACAGAACAGGTTTTAGATTCATCAGTTCGTAATTTTCCTAAAACATTGCTAAATATGGCTCTTATCTCCCTTACGCAGCACCTAAATCCTAGCCCAACAGTGTGACATAAACTCTAATCTTATTTTCGTTTTTTTCTAATTTGATTTGCTTCATGTGAACTAATCAAGTATCTCATCCTCTTTAAATTAAAAGAAAAAGAGCTGCAAAATCAGAAAGCTGATTGATTTGAAGAAAGGCATGTACCTGAAAAAAAGAGTTTCAGGAGGAAACAGCTGTCAAAATGTAGTGGATATGTTACCATAAAAGGTAAAATAACAACATTCCAATTCCAACAATTCAAGTTTCCCCAAGCAGCATAAACTGCAAGGTCCAAAGCCAAAGCTTTCTTTGGATGGCAAGGTATCAAAGCTGTCTTTTTGCCTCTACAAGCCTTAGCTAGCTCCTCAAATTCCTCAATAATTCACTCAGAATTTTGATTTTTTTTTCTTGGACCTTCTCTTCAATGAAAAGATCAATCGCATTTCAAGATTACAGATTGATGACACCTCAATCATTCCTTTCCCAACTCTTCAATCAACAATGAACATGCAAAATCATCAACTTGGTAAGTGATCAAAGCCTTGGTACTCCTCGAAGCTGTGCCTTTGCATGGCCTAATGCTGGATTCCCAAACTCCTAAACACACAGGAAAAAATTAAAAAAGAAAAAGAATTATACTATTTCTGTGCAATTTCTGTGCAACAGAATTGAAGTCCTGATAAAACTGAATAGTTTCTTTTTGCCATTTTCAGTAGAAAACTCTCCTTGAATGCCATGTTTCCAACTACTTGAAATAACCAATTTCTCACTTCTTCCACGGACACAGACCAAGAACCAAGCTTTTTATAAACACCCAAATCAGTTCTCTTGAAAATTCTGATGGAAAGCAATAGACGGATTTTTTTTTCTTTGGGGAAATTCTACTTCAATCTCAGAAGCTAGCTCAACCTCCCACCAATAAAAAAAAAACAAAGGGACAGCTAAAAAAGAAACAAACAGAGTAAAGGCTCAATAAAATCTGAGATATAGGAAATAATAATAGTAGTAATAAGAGAGAAAACAAGGACTTTTTCTTGGTGGTGGCATCTTTTGACAACCTGAAAAAAGAGAGGAGCAGAGAGAAAATGCTTTAACAGGCAGCGACCCGTGATTTTTTATGAAGAAAGCTGAAATGGGCAGGCATTATAGAGTGGGAAAAAGAAGAGGAGAGGATGGAAGAGAGAGAAAAAATGGGAAAGCAAAAGGATGTGAAAGTAGAAAAAAGAGCTAAACATCACAATGTTGTTGGCCAAAGACAATAGAAGAGCAGAAGAACTTGTTCACAGTTGGAAGAGACTACGTGACAATTGGGATATACGAATTCTGGAATGTACTTTGGTCAAAAGGGCTTATATTGGAGTTTCTTCCAATAGAAACATGATCAACGTCAGCACCATCAGTGTTCTCTGCTCACCTCTTCTATAACTTTCTCTTTCTGGTACAAAGTGTAACACTCTACCTCGAAAGTATTATTTTTGTGTAGTCACTCTCTCTTTGTTGGTTGCAACTTGTCTGCCAATATCCTAGAAATTGTCTACCATCAGGGTGAGGTGAGTTGGTGTCTACTTTTTTTGGTCAGCAGACAGAAAAAGTTCGGGCCTGCCTGTCTTTTAATTTTATTTTTTTTAATTTAACGGCAAAGAATTTTTAAGTTTTGAGCGTTTTTTTTTTTAATATAAATAAATTTATTTACGTTAAGTTTAATAAATAAAAGATAATAATTCATGCACGATGTGGTTTATCATTTTATTATTTAATATATATTATAATAGTAAAAAATATGTTTCAAAAAGTAAAATAAACATAAGTACTCTTTTGACATATTTCAAATATTTCATAAATTTTAAAAGTGAAATAGTTATAGAAATAAAAAAATATCATCTTTTTAAGAGGCAAATGAATCTCAATTGGTCATTCGTCATAAACTAATCCACAATCCAAAATAAAATTTCTTACTCATTCCATTCTCAAAAAATAAAGAAAATAAAAAAAATCAAAGTCACTAATAAGTTGTTATGATTTATTTGACATTTTTTCATTAAAATTTTTACTATTAAATTAAAATTATAACATAATGATAATAAAATAAAAATAAAGTTTTTATAATTGA